AAGATGATGTGGGTTACGATCCTCTCTCCACTGTCAACCAGCTGTGTGGTTTGGGGCAAGTCTTTTAACCTCTCCATGTTGCAGTTTTTTAATGTACAAAATGAGGACATTAACAGTATGAAGGATTACTAGAAGTCATGTGAAAGTGGCTGCTACTTAGCAGGCATTCAATAAGTGCTAGATATATTTTCATTTTCCTCAGTACAATTTGGAGAAGTCAAGGTCTACATGTAGTGAAATAATCTAAATGCTGAATATAAAGAAGAGAAGAATTATCTTGAAGGACTAGTCTGTTCGGAAACTATTTCTAGTAAACAGCTCTTATTTTTCTGCAAATGTATTTAAAAATCATAAATAATTTATATACTTAAGGAGTACATGTGTTTATCTGTAGGGGTTGCCTGCTTTTAAGAAGCACATTGGTGTTTAATAACCTGTTTAAATATGCCCTTTATGTTACTGCCTTGCACTTTCATATATCTAGGAAGGCTTAATTTATACAAACACAGGAAAAGCAAAGTATATATTACCGTATCCCTGGAGAAATGGACATGAATAAGATGATGAAGGCATGGGATGATGAAGAATGACTAATAGAGGTGAAGAATTTTAGATACCTATTTTTCTCAGTGTGGTCACTTTGGGGCACTTGGACAGATTATCCTCAGAGGTAAGTCTTCATGTGGGAGGGGGTCTTAGCCCAGCTGATGAGTGCAGAGTAGTGGTTAAATAGCCTCTGGAGTCAGCCTACCTGGTTGCAAATCTCTGATGCTGCTTTCTAGCTATATGACCTTGAGCTAGTTTGTTAATCTGTTGGTGTCTATGTTTCCTCCTTGGTAAAATCATGATAGGTCCTTTGTAGGTTTATTTATGAAGATTTAAAGAGTGATAATATAGATACTTAGAACAGTGCATGGCATACAGTACATGTTGCATAAGCACTTGCTTAAAAAAGTAACATTTAAAAATGTTGATATTTAGGATTATAATTATCATTAAGATACATTTTACTCAAGTAGTTTAACATTCTTAAATCTATTTTAGGTAACTAATAATTCTACTATAACCTGCATATGAAAAATAAGTGCAGTTTTGGATTGATTTCTTTTTCCTCCACACTTGGAACAATAGTGGATGTTTATTATGAACTTTCTTGAATGGAATATAGATTATTGGAATCACCAACCAAATGGAGCATATGAATGGCAATTAAAAACCTTAACTACTTTAAGCACCTACAAAACACCAGTTTCCTTATTATAAACAGAATGCAATCTAACTTCTTTGTAAGGTTTAAATGAAGATTTTTATAATATCTGTAGAGAGCTGGAACCATCTTTGTCTGTTGTTATTGCTGTTTTGAAGTATTCTGAGTCATATGTGTAGCTTCCTGGCTGGCCAGGATCAAACTCGTGGTGCAGAGGCTGCACATAGCTTTACTGCGTTGAGTGTAACCCCTTGTGTGTTATTGCTGATTTGAAATACTAGATATCCTGTAGAGTAGAGTTAGGCTTGAGGATAATGGGTGTAGGGTAAGGAAAAATGTCAGGCTTTTCTGCCTTCCCGCCATCAGGATAGATGTTGGATCCTTGCGGTCCTGAATGCATGCCTGAAGGTGGACACCTGGAGTAGGGTGTGGGCATAGGTAGATGGGATTCACTTTGGCTGAGACTGGGCTTTTAAGGGCCGTGTCACGGGGACGCCAGCAGACACCAAAAGAGAAGCCGAGAGAGAAGCCGAGCCATAGAAAGAAGCAGAGAACGCCAGAGAGCCCAGATAGAGTGAAGACTTGCTGGGGTCTGGGAGCGCCCCTGCCTGCTGTGTACCTGGTAGATCCCAATAAAAAACCTGCAAAAGCCACTGAGAACTCTGACTCCTCCTTTACCCGGTCTGCATGGAATCAGAAAACCTGCACTGTGTCCAGTTCCTGACTATACAATGGGTTAATTCTAATTAAGTAAATAAGGGAGAAACGCAATACTCTTCAAATGGTGCCACTGGTTTGGTGGTTAGCATAGGATATACTTGAGTATATGGGGATAATACTGAGACTGTTTATACACTGATTCAACAAAATGCAAGGAAATTCATAAACCACTTCACAGACTCATTTTATCTGATATATTCGTATATTGTTATCATCTCCATTTTTCCCATTTGTCTTGGCACTAGAGTCTCTTTTCCACTATAACTGATAGTCACATCCTTTGTTGCTGCCGTTTGTGAGTCTCCTGCCATGTGTGTTTAACTATACACTTAGTCTACCCATTGGCACAAGTATCTCAAACAAATGAGAAAATTAGCTTCACTAAGTCAATAAAATACTAATGTAAGTGAATAAACCGAAAAAGATAATTTTAATGCTGGAAACTAAGTCAAATATTTATAAAAATTTTTGATTCCTTCTTATTTTATCAGAGTATTTAATAAAACATAAAGAAGACACTAAAATAGTGCAGTTTATGTGTTTTACCATCCAGTCATGGCAGTCCATAAAATCAGGTCGATACATTTTATCTTCAAACAGAATGCTAGGAATGAACGTCATGCTCTTTCTTAAAAAAGCAAACCTAGTTTCAAGGCTGGAAAGATTTATAAACATATTTAATTAGCTGATATCAATAAACTTGATTTTCAAGGTTCTGGGCCTTCAGCAAACCAATTGATAGTGACACAAGGTAATATAAATTGACTGAAGTATCCTCATAGCAATCCAAATGTACAGTAATTTGGCATATACATAATCTACAACAGTTTGTTTTTTAAAGTTTTTTTTTATAAAGTACATTTAATTTCAGGGAAAAATTTAAAAGTTAGATGTTTCTTTTAATATTTCTTTTGTAATAATTCAAAATTTGGGGTAGTCTTAAAGCTAGTGATTTTTTTTAGTTAGGTTTTCCTTTTAATGGATCAGTTTTTTAATTCGATTCTTTGTAAAAAAAATTAGAACACCAATTTGTAATGTAAATTCCATTTCTGAGAGCAAAAACAGAGCAAGGAAGCCCTGGACCTGAGGCATAGCTTTGATTGTTGGCAGAATTTGCCAGTCCACAGCTTTCTGATGGACCTTGTGCTGCTCTGTAATCTGTTTCTCCTTCTGTGTTGGAGATCTCACCTTTCTGATGTTAGGACTTACATAGCTTCTTCTGTTTGTTTCTTTATTTACTTTTTTATATTTACTTCCATGTTTGTTTATTGAAGTAAAGTTGATTTACATCATTGTATTTGTTTTAGGGTTTACAGATTCAAATATCTACAAATATATGTTTTCACATCATTCCACCACCAATGCCCTAATAATCCTTCACCATGCTCCACTGGGCCCCCTCAAAACATACCCAATAACAAATCCTTGACATTTGATGGCAAAATTGAAGTAAACTTCAATAAGATATTTGGGGAATTTCACACCAATAGCATCTATTTTGGTGGAGATAGTGATGGGAAATTACTGGTGTCTGCTGCACAGATGAATTCTACTGAGGAAAAGAGGTCCAGTCCCACTTAGCAGCTACTGCTCACCCGCCTTATGAAAACCAGCTGCTGGCCCCGATGGCATCCAGTTATGATGATCAGAATGGCCCCCTGGTAGTGCTAGCTCATAGATTTCTCATATGATCACTGGCTTCCCCGCACCCCGCCCCGCTGTGGCTCAAGAGCTTTTGAGACTCAACCTTCAGTAGGAGTATATCTGGCATTTTGCAAAGTGCTACCACTCCCGTACTGCCGTTCTTGTCATCACCAACTGGTTTTGTGATGGTAGCAAGAGCCATTGCCTTTTTCTTTGCAGGTCTGGATTTAGCTGTGAAATACTTCCTCTTCTGTGTGGCCTTGGAATCCATAGCAGATCAGGAATATTGGACAATTCCTCTAACTAGGACATGCTTTGGGCTTCAGTGGGGCTCCCCCTTCTTAGGTGGTTTGGTTTTGGAGTTATCTTTATCTTAACCTTGCCAAAGCTTCAGTTTTCTTGGCTTCTCTTTAGTAACTGGTTTCTCAACTTTTTCACCTGCCATCATGCAAGGTGGGAAATTCAAATTAGATTCTTTAAGGGAATGATACATCAATATCCTCTCTGAAAACTGAACTGTCTCTCCAATTTTGATGAATTCTATCTCAATATGCATACAGGAGTATAGTTTATGTCTTCCTCTCCCTCTTCTCCTCCTTTCTTTTAAGTTCTTACTTTCCAACTTCAATTCTTTCCTTTTTCTTCACTAAACAGCTACTGTAGGACAAGCATTGTTCAAGGGTTCAAGGATACATAGTGATCACTACATGGCCCTGGACCTTAAGAAGCATGTAGGAAATGTGTCACTTCAAACATACTCTGTTTATAAAGTAAAACTACAAAATAATGCATATGTCTATTATTTATTTTTCCCACATATCCCCAACTTCTTGAACCTAGCTACTCTTCTTTCTGATGTTATTCTGATTTAAATGAGTTACTACTATAACAGTTGTGACATGTTATTTTTCTAATATGGTATTATATTAATTTTCTAGGACTGTTATAAGAAAAAAGTACAAACTGCGTGGGTGAAAACAGCAGAAATTTATTCTCTCAAGGTTCTAGATACTAGAAGCCAAAATAAAGGCATCAGCAGGGCCATACCTCCTCTGAGGTTTTGGTAAAATACTCTTTGCTTCTGCCTAACTTCTGAATGCAGTAGTTAATCCTTGCTATTCCTTGGTTTGCACATACTTATCTCCAGTTCTTGCTCTTTTGTCAAGTTCTTCACACTATGTCTCTCTTTTCCTCTTGTCACGATGGATTAGGAGCCCACTCTATTCCAATATAATACCAATTTAACTAATTTTATCTCTTGAATATTATAGCATTATCCCCGAATCAGGCCATATTCTCAGTTTCCAGGGTTAAAATTTCAACATGTCATTTTGGAAAACATAATCCAACTTAAAATAGACTGAGATTCTAGCTGAGTGGCTTTATCAAAATTATGGCAATTAAAGTTCACGTTTGATTTTATAACCGGAGGTTTGCGCAGTGGCAGTATCGTAGCCAATGAGGTTTATCCGAGGCGCGATTATTGCTAATTGATTTTATAACCGGATTTGGAAACATTATTTTGTCCTGTCTGGATTTAACTTGCTTCCTAAATAGGATTATTTTAATAAATGAATGTACTTAGTTTATACATCTGCCCTACCTTGTAGTTTCTGACTTTTAGATAAAAAATATTTAGTTGCTTTGGTGTCAATATGCAACTGTTAAATCTAGAGTTAATTTGATTTCAAAATAGAAATGTTGAGCTAGAAGAGAAGTTAACAACATTAGAACAACCCTTTCTCCAAATACATCATTCCAGAATTCTGATCATCACAACGACCTGTAGCCCTCTGTAGTTCAGATGCTATGCAGTTAGAGGGAGAGGCATACATCGAATATTCTACATGTGACAGCATGTCATATATTATTTAATTTAATCCTACTACCTCCCAAGGAGGGAGTCAGCATGGCCCCTATTTCTGAGATGAGGAAACAGTCTGAGACATTTTAATTGCTCTGGGAACACAGCTACTAAGGAGCCAATGATGAATTGAACAAATGAAGTATGTACCTACCTGCCTGGAAAGTATAGAACTACTGTGCCTTTTACGGTATTTACTACCTTTCAAATAGCATAGACACAAAATATAAAGTAGCTGTAAATATATTAATTTAAACACATGATAGGTGAATAGCAAGAAGAAAAATAATATTAGAAGCCCCCAGTATAGATTGTGTCCTAACTTTTCCACTTCTCATCTAAACTATTCAAGAGGTGGGTCTCGCTGGTGGCGCAGCGGTTGAGCGCTGGGTTGCAAAACTGCCCGCAGCCTCTGTAGCGCCGGTTCGATTCCTGGCTGCTCCCTAGCCACCGGAGGAGGGTCCCACATGGCACGCAGACCTCTCCTGCCACCCGCTGCTCCCCTCAGCAGTGTACTTCGGTTCTTCTGCCTGCTCTGCTCCCCGTTCTGGCTCTGGTGAATTCTCTCACCCTCCCGCACTTCTGACTGTACCCAGCGCTTGTATAAATAAATAAATAAATTTTTTTATATATATAAATAAATTAACTATTCAAGAGGAAGGAGAAGGAAGGGCTAAATTATAATGCCTCAGTATAAAAAGATTACATAAAATTTAAGGTGTGTTTTCTACACTAAGATTTTAAGTTAAAAATTGAAAGACATGGACAGTCTCTAATTTAGTTTACTAAATAAGGGTAGTCAAAAAAAATCAAGCTTAAATCAAAATTTTTTCCTTTCTTTCATGCTTCTGCAGTAAAGGATAAAAAAAGTTTTCTTTGCTCATTTGTATAACTAATTCATAAGTAAGGTAGGGTTTCTGTATGGATGTATGTTCTACTAACAAGGTGTGGTGGGTTTTTATCTTCCTATTTAATTAATATTCAGTTTTGAAGAGTGGAAATCAGCTTACTTATTTTAAGTAAAAATAAAGGGCAAGGCTGTTTGTAACTAATTGCTAATTGGGCAATTACTTTATCATGTGGCACTGGTAAAAACCATTACTTGAGGTTTTGAGCAACTTCTGATTTTAACTTAATAATCATTTGAATTGAAATTATTTAGTAAATTAAACATTTCTTTACCAGACACTCTTTATACTTCAAGTAATTTCTAATTATGCTACCTAATGTAGTAATTATATCATTTGAAATTAGCCAGAGTATTAAGTCTCATTTAAAAGAATAACAAAATGTGGTGATGTTGTTTTCATTAAAAAAGAATCTATAGAAAGTACAAGCATTAAAAATACTTGCCCAAGTGTGCGTCGATTTCTAGTTCGTGGAGAAAAAATTCAGAAGAATCTTACCCTTACCTCTGTCTGGTGCTGATTCATAACAAATTAACCAGAAGGTCATCGGGGATCAACAATTCAGTCCTAACTACCTTACTCTCACTTCCATTTCCTCATTCCTGCACTGCTGGCTTCTTGCAGAATCAGAGTTAGAAAGACTGACCTAGGCACCCAGTTTGATCTGTCGAGTCTTCTGTCTGGAACCTTTGGAAACGGTCCAATTGCTAGAGCAAGGGATCAAAAACCTGCCAGGACTCATCAAATCTGATTTTAGTGTAGAAGAAACTATTGCAATTTTGCTAGAGCTCTTCCTAATTATTAAAACTTTTCAGCAAATAGAGATATACTAGGGCAAACTACACTTATGCAGCCCTGAACAAAAGGCATCTAAAAATGGAGAGAACTTTCAACCAATTTCTTCTGCTAAAGAAAATGTTGTATTAGTCTGCAGAGAAAATTGGCCATCACTACTCCTTCAAGTCCCTCTCCTGTAAGTGCTGCCAGTTCATTTAGCTCATCAGCCAAAGCTGAATTAGAAGCCACCATCATTTCTGCTCTCACTTGTGCTTTTTCCAATACCATTACTACAAAGCAGTACTGTCTGCTGGGATGTGCACTAGACTTGGCAAAAAGATTCTTAGATTGTTGTCCCCATTAACCAAAACTGACTCATTTTGTGAATTTAGATTTTTTTTGTCTCTGAAATGATGTGTTCTATTTTTAATAACAAAGTATACCTATTAAAATTTTAATAGACTATATTATACCATCCTGAAATTTCCACTTATATTAAGAAAAACCCTCTCTTATAGATCCTCAAATATCATAGCCCTAACTAATATGTAGAACATCTCTAAAGGATAAATTAAAAAAGGATCAAACTATATTCTCAATAATCTTCTCAATTGAAGTAAAGAGATTAAGAGGAGACACATAATAATGTCTTAATTACTACATAATGTATAGAAAGATCTGGTGCCTCCATATCTATGATAAATATTAGGATAAAAGCTTTAAGAAGGATTCACCTAGCAAATAAAGACAATAAGCATGGGAGCCTGATTAGCTACCCTTCTGAAGATGTGTTAGATTGCTTTTGTAAAATTATAACTTTTACTATGCTTTCAGCCACTTCAGATTTTATATTTAAAATCATTTGACCCAAATGATTATGGTTTACCATTTGGTGATTATTGGCAGTAAAATTCACTTTTGTTTTCTATTTGGCCCTAATATATTTATAATCAATGAATTAATTCAAAAGTAGTTGACAATATGCCTAAACTGTCCCAGCCATTTCTACCAGTATGCTCTGGTTTACCAATAGAACACATTTCTCCTTTCATTCTAATTAAGAAAAATAATCAAAAATACAAACACAGAAAGATTCATATTGTGGAATTATGTTGAGAACCACTGAGGAAACACATCAGAATAATGTGAGAGTATGTCTGCAACAAAAGACTAGTTTCAATGATGTTCTCAGGAAAAGGTTTTTTTTTTATTTTATATATATTTTACATCATTCTTCCTTTTAGTACAGTGTATGTTTTCTCCTCTCAGGCATAGTACCCATATAATTCCCCTACCAATTTACCCGTGCACCATCGCCATAGTCCCTTGTGCTCTTCCCTCCCTGTTTTTAATCCGTCTCCCTCCCCCCTCCCCTGCTGATTTATAGTTGCCTTTGAATTTCATTTTTTAATTTATGATATATTTTTTCTTGATCCCTTATTTGATTCCTTTACATTCCTCCTAGATATTAAACCATGCTATATTTTTATTTTTCTTTCTGGCTTATTTCACTGAGCATATTCCCTTTCAGCTCCATGCATGTTGCTGTGAATGGCATTAGTTTATTTTTTTTGATTGCTGAGTAATATTCCATTGTGTATATGTACCACGTCTTCTTGATCCAGTCATGTATTTTTGGGCATTGGTTGTTCATATCTTACCTATTGTAAACAGTGCTGCAATAAACATAGAGGTGCAGGTATCCTTACAACTCTCCAGAATGTATGGGACACAACACAAGCAGTTATAAAAGGTAAATTTTGAACCAATACCTGACAGAGAGTCATGCAAAGATCTGAGAGAAGCATTTGATGCAAGGGAAAAAGAAAGGCAATCAGACAGACAAAAATGAACTTGTGATGTTCAAAAGAATGCATGTAGGTAAGGCTGAGTGAGTAAAGAGTGAGGTAGATGAGGAAGTGAGAGAGGTAGAGAGAGGACACAAGTGTGGAATAAGTAGAAGCAAATAATATTCCTGAATTCAGTCCAGACTTTACGTTCTGTTAGATTCAAAGGGAAAAGTTGTAGTCTTTCTTTTGTAAGAGCTTTTGTTTCCGTCTCCCGCAATAAAAGCAGCAGTTAGTTTCCATGTATCTTAACATATGAAAAAGCATTCTTCTTTTGCTTTCATTCTTAGCTAAAGTTTGAGTAAAATAAGTAAACAAAAACCCTTCCAATTTCTGGAAATTAATGTCTGGAGAGGCAGGAAAATAATGGCCTGATGTAAAGACCTTAGAATAGTCAGTCTACTCGAAGGGTGATGTCAAGAGTCGGGGACCTACTGGCTTACGTGTGGGTAGTTATATGTTTGGCTGGCAACAAGTCCTTTTGTATGTGTTTTGTAGTTTGCAAGAAATACAAAATTGTGTTTTAATTTTAGTTATTCCCAAAATGGGAATAAATAGAATAGCAAAAGTTCACTTATTTGGGCATTGTTATCAGAGACACAAGTGAAAAATTGGATTCAATTTCTGTGTTTTTTATTAACTCCCTTTCTTATGTTTTTATTTAACCCCGTGAACAGTGCTGTGGCATTTGAAATAAACATTGAGAGGAGGAAAACAAACAAAAAAATTGAAGAAAACTTATTGATGCATTATTCTTAGAGCATTTATTCTTAGAGCATTTCAAATATTAAGGTCAGATAGTAATACAATGATTGATATTTTAAGGGGGATCATACTTGATAGGAAATGAGGACCCAAAAAATTTAAGAATTTTATTTTGCATTTTTAGGTGCCACTCCCTTAATCCTACATAAGTTCCTAGATGTAGGATAGATTCACCTCTGCTGTACCTTTAGAGATTTTTTGATCATTAGTTATCTGTCTTTTTTTTTTTCGTTCTATTATGATTTCTCACTGCTGCACCACAGCAATACTGAGAAAGGAAAAAAAAAAAAAAACTGAAACTGCTCTTATCTCTGGAGCACAGATAAAGGAAAGGCAGCCACTTTGCTCCTCAGACTCCCAACTCAATCTGCCAATTTGCAGAAGTGGGTTGGTTACCAGTTTCATTGCTAAT